TTGAACTTGGGTCCTTGTGCTTGTGCAGCAGGCGGTGAAACCACTGAGCTAAATCCCTGGCCCCAAAATGTATTTTTTTTAAAGATGAAGTGTTTCCGTCCATGAAGTTGATGAAGATCAAAAGATTTACACTGTACAGTTCTGACCAGGCTGCAGGAACAGCACAATTGCATTCCTGGTGACACTGTCAGCTGTCACTTTCTCTAGGAAGGAAACATGCATCCAAATGTGAAATACATGTTTCTGACTCAGCAATTTCCTCTGAAGAGAATTTATCCTCAGGTACATTGGCACATGTGAGAAATGCTGTGTGTATGGAGATGCACAGTGGCTGGCTACACACTGCTACCTGTCCTGAACCTGTGGCTGTCATGCTTATTTGTTTTCTCTGTAACATGTCAGCAGTGCTACACCAAGGAAAAAACAGAAAAAGTACACGGCAGGAAGCCAAGGCGGGAGGATTGCAAGTTAGCCTGGGCAACTTAGTGAGACCCTGTCTCTAACTACATAAAAAGTAAAGGGGCTGGGGATGAAGCTCAGATCAAAGGCCTTGAGTTCAATTCCCAGTACCAAAAGAAAAAAAAGGAAAAGGCAAAATGTATGTTTTCTAACTGGGTCAGCTCAATTTTATGAAGCATTCTTCAAAGTTCCAAAGAGTATCTTATCTTACAGACCCGGTGACCAGAACTGTCACAGTATCACCATTTTTTTTTTTTAAACTGGGGTCCTTTCACTTGCGCAGCAGGTGGTGAAACCACTGATCTAAATCCCTTGGCCAGAATCACCATTTTTTCTGGAGATGCTTGAAAATATGTTTTTTCACATGGGCCAGAAGAAAACAGTGACATTGGAGTGACCACTAGCAATTATGGGTAGCAATGGTCAACATTTAAATTTTGAGAAGTTACACCTAAGTATCTGGGGTCTGTTATTTATTTGGGGAGGAAAATGAACGGAAGTTGCACTACACTGAAGCTGAACTGTTGCCTGGGGATAAAAAGGTGACCCTGCTACCTGGGTGTGGGTGGAGCCTCCCCTGCATCCCCACCCCACCCCCACCCCGGGTTGCACTTTTCCTCCCAGCCTGGGTCCCTTGCTGACCTCCTGGACCTTCTTGACATCTGTTTGAAAGCTCATTTCTGACTTTCAAAAACAACTTCAGTAGAACCTTTTAATTTGGGGCATTTTGTCTAATTTTTTCACCAGTTTTTTTTTTCCTTTGTTGGTAATATTGTGCTTATTTAAAAAGTTCCTGCAGTGATGAGAAAGTGTGCTGTGTTTGAATCTGAGGAGGGCTTAATTAATACAGAAGCAACTTTCAAAGATGGGACCAGAGTAGGAAACCCCAAGGGCAGAGCAGGTACCCTAAGGTAGGAAGAGACCCTGGTCCGCAGGGAAAAGGGAGGCGACAGGAAGAGCAGTATGAGGGCCACCTGAGAGAGGCAGTGACCTTGGATGCAGGGAAGGAGCCAGGCTGCAGCAACCCCACAGATGTCCCTGACCTCTTTTCTCTCCCTTCAGCTCTTGCTGCTGTCTACACAGGAAGCCTGCAGAGTCCCAGAGCAGGGCTGAGAAGGGAATAGATAGGTGGGTCAGAGGGGCAGAGACTCCTGGTGCAGCCATCGCTGCAGCATGGGAAGCCAGGACGATGCCCTCTTGTCCCATAGTTAGGCTGGGCCTTTTTCCTCTGTGTACTTTTCTCTCCCCATCTCAACCTTTGCTGGCCTGCTTGTCTTACTGTGGGTCTGCAGGGGGACAACTGGCATGAATTCTGCTCCTGGCTCTGAGTTCCCTCCTAGGGATCTGCCCAACCTGTAGGCCCAGGTTCACCTTCAGGGCAAACTGGGGCTGTGGGCAGAAGGCTGGGCCAGATCCCATGCTGAGAACTGGCAGCTGTTCTTGGGAATGCTCCAAGTAATAACAGCACAAGAGAGGCCTGAGATTTAGCTCAGTGGTTCTGCCACCTGCCTCTCAAGCGCAAGGTCCTGAGTTTGATCCCTGGTACCAAAAAAAAAAAAAAAAAAGAACAGCAAGAACAGCACAAGAGCCAGGACAGCACTGGACAGGGACCTTTTTTACCTGCAGGTTGTTGGGCTCATCCGCAGTGACCAGCCCTTTGTCCAGCACCTGCTGGGCACCACATCTTGGAAGTGTAGGGCCCTATGCAGGAATGATTTAACCTTGGGTTTGACTTTGGCCTTATGTGCTAGAGGGAATGACCTGCTTTCTCTCCTGAACCCAAGAGTTACAGCCTGAGTGTCCAGTCTGGTCCTTGCCCTGGACAGCTTGCTTCTCCCTGCTGCTGAGGACGCCTCATCTGTCTCCCTCCTCCCTGATCACCTGCTCATAATGCAAGGTGTGAGTCAGCACTTGGAGCCTTGTTCCCAGCCTCAGCTCTGCCCAGGGCTCCCCTCCATTCAGGGCTGTGATTTGGCGAAGCTGAGGCAGCCTAGCTAGTTAGGGAGAGGAATGTGGAGTTTCTCAAGGTCTACTCATCATTGAGTGGGCCTTTGAAAATTGTTAAATGTGACTGGGTTTCCTCCCTTGAAGAAGTATTATCTTAAGCAGTAGATCCTGGCATTGATCAGATGTACATTGTGATGCTTCTGGTAAACTTTCCACCTGTTTGTTTCCTAAGAATTGGCACCAAGCCCCTTGACATTAATCGTGAAGAGCTGAATCCTTTCATGTTCATCGGTGAGAATATCCATCCTAAGTTCTAACGCATGTCTTGTACCCCATAACTTTGTGATTAGACCAGATATGTATGCCAAAGCTATGTATGCCAGCCAAGGTCAAGCGTGCTATAACGCCGCCTTCCATCTGTCCTCGTGTGTACACCACAAGACAGCACAGGGGCTCCTTCTCTTGAGAAGCTGCTCCGCTCTGTCTCTGAGGCTGTGTACATTGATGAAACTGCCTCTGCTGAGAGAAGAAGAGAGACAGAGACAGAGAGAGGCAGAGACAGAGGGGGAGATTTATGAGAATATATTTTCATGATGCATTTTGTAGTCACTTTAGTTTTACTTTTTACTCTGTATACAGGGTACTTGGCAGAATTGGGTGGACATTTGCTATTCAGAGATGAAATTGAAGTTTTGATTGAAGGTAAGTGTCAAGGTTATAATGAAATCTTTATGCAGAGGAGAGAATTGAAGAAGGGTAATATTATTCTAGGAAGATGTTTGGATTTTAGCTCTCCCCCCCCCCTTCACTGCCTCATCAGTCAGAGTTCAAAAAAGTGACATGGAAAATAGGGTGAGTTCATTCTTTCCTTGCTTTTTTTGTTTTTCCTTAACTAGGCTTTCTTGAGCACTTTAGGCTCAGGACAAAAAGGAGCAGGAGATACAGATTTCCTAGATACCCTCTCCCCCAGTTCAGGCAGCACCTTCTCCATATAAGCACCTCCCGCCAGAGCTACACTGGCCACCGCTGAGGAGCCCACACTGATGGCCTTTATCTTCCTTCCTTTTCCCTCATTCATTTACAAAACACATTTCACTGCCTGCTAAACACCAAGCACTACAATATTTCCCCATTCTTAGAATCTTTTTTGTCTTTCCTGCTCCTCCTTCTGTTCCTTCTCCTTTTCCTTTTCTAAATGCCCTTCCTTATCTTCTCTATTTATTTTATGAAGAAATAAAATAATTTTTCATGGCCTCTTATGTGGATATAATGATATTCACATTTTTTGGTACCAGGAATTGAACTCAGGACCTTGTGCTTGCCAGGCAGGTGTGGCACCACTGAGCTAAATCCCTGGCCCGATATTAACATTTTGATATATGTATTATCCCAAATTTTCCAAAAGAATAGAGGCTACTACGTATTTGTCTTTTTAAATTATCATAACTGTTTTATAATTTCTTTAATTCCTCATATATCATAAGCATCTTTCTATGCCAAGGACTATGTGTCTACCTCATCATGTTAAAATGTGTGTGCTATTTCATTTCATGACCTTAATTTTTTTTCAGTACTGGAGCTTGAACCCAGTGCCTTCACACTGAACTAAATCCCCAGACCTTTGCCAAATATATATATATACAAGGGCTGGGGATTTAGCTCCGTGGTTACACTGCCTGCCTTAAAAGCGCAAGGACCCGAGTTCGAGCCTCAGTACCAAAAAAAAAAAAAAAAAGAATACATCTATATATATTTTTGTTGTTGTTGTTGTTGTTGTTTTTGTTTTGGTACCGGGGATCGAACTCAGCTCCTTGCGCTTGCGCAGCAGGCGACGAAACCACTGAGCTAAATCCTCAGCCCTATAGGTATATTTTTTTGAGACAAGGTCTCACTAAATTCCCCAGGCTGGGCTCAAATGTGTAGTCCTCCTGCCTCAGCCTCCCAGAGTGCTGGGATTACAGACATCCACCACCACACCCAACTATCATGTTAATTTTTAAGCAGTTTCCTATTGATAAACAGACTGATTCAAACTTTTTTCATTATTATGACCAAAATGTGTGTGTGTTCATAAATGTCTTCATGAATATATGTTTATGCTATTGAGCAGAATGCTCAGCATATAATAGGTACTTGGTCAATGTTTAGTGAACACTTCCATTTTTCTTTTAATAGAATGCCCTTCATCAAGGTAAGAAATTAGCAGGGAGAGTGGGAAGGGGGGCTGGAAAGGGAGGTCTCTGACTGGGCAAGAACTTCTTGGATGCTAAGGCAGATCTGCCTCTCTGCTGTCACAGCTACGGAACGAATGCTCCAGGATGAAGACTCTCAGGTCCAGGAGTTGGCAGAAATAACCCACGATCTTTTAAAGAAAATAGCCCATAGACCAAGATCCACAACTATTAAACACGCTTTCCAGAGATTGTTTAAGTTCTCCTACACCAAGGAAATGAAGCATCTTTATAATTGGCAAGGCACCACATGGACGGTCCTGTAAGCGTCCCATCTTGATAACCTAAGTCTGCTTGTAGAAGCTTTTCTGAAAGATGTTAGGAACTTTCATTGTCCCTTTCAATTCTCTATTAAAATGTATAAATCTGAACACTCTGGTGCCTCTCTGTATCTAGCAGTGATCAGAATCCCTACATAATCAAACCTACTAAGTCAACTGAAATAACCTAAGTCATTCCTCAGTACCAGTGAGGAACAGGTTCTAGGACCCCAACATCCAAAACCTGCAGATGCTCAAGTCCCTTACAAAAAATGGCATAATATTTGCATGTAATCTACACATACCCTCCCATATATGTTATATTTTAGATTCCTTATAATTCCTAATTAAGTGTGAATGCTACATAAATACTTGTTGTACAGGATTGTTTAGGAAATAATGACAAAAAAGTAGTACAGGCACATATTTTCTAATATTTTCCATTTGTGGTTAGTTGAATCCATGGATGTGTAGTCCACAAATATGGCTTATACTCAACTGTATCAGCATAGTTTTTGGTGAGAGACTCTTGGAAATTGATTCAGTAAGCATGTAGTGAGCACCTTCTACAAGCCACATGTGTTCCAGGCAGTGGGAATGTTAGGGTGAGACAGATGAAGTCCCATCCCCAGGATGGGCAATCCAGTGACAAGCAGTGTGATCATTTCCATCTTGCTGGGAGATGAACTCCCCTTTTCCTCTGCTGATTAGAGTGTTGTGTTTGTGTAATGTGTCAACTTGCAGTTCATGTTCCTTTTCATTTCTCCTTTACTTCTTCATAAAAGAAACAGAGAAGAGAAAGAGGACCAGCAGCCACTCTACCTGCCCCTGGATCCTCCTCCAGCTTCTGACCTCTGAGCCAGGTGTGTTGACTTCTGTGGGAAAGAACGCTGGCTTCTCCTGCAGGACACTCACATGATGAGCATCGTGATGGAGCCGGGAAGCTCCAGACACCCTTGTACTGATGTGATCTCCCTTGTCCTCCCCCCCACCCCGCTCACTCACACCTCCCTGCCCATTGCCTGCCTTGCTGATGTCAAGCTCCAGCGTCAGGTGAAGATGATAACCTACAGAGACTACTTACCCAGCTCCCAAGGTTGCATGAAGTCAAAGCCCAGGTTCTGCTTCTCTAACAGAACCCTGACTGATACAGTACCTGGGATAAACTTTCACACCCTACTGCTTGAGGGTGGGTGATGGATGTCGCGCCTATGATTTCTCTTAACACCCTGTGATTATATTTTTCACTACACTTATCAGACTGGAGCAAAATTATCTATTTTCCTTCTGCCCCACAAAATTGAAGTTTCATGAAAGCAACTGTCATATCTTATACTTGGTTGTATACTATGGAACTGACACCTCATTAGGTGCCTGACACCTAACATGCTCGATAAATATTTGGCAAATTAATGAAGTGCAAGTAGAACATATTCCTCTTGTACTTCAATAAAATTTTTCACATATTTATGAGTGCTCTTTCATGGAAACAGTGAAAGGATGGACTTTTTTGATTTATCCCTGAGCCCATGTTATTTTATATTACCTAGAAGTCCCAGGCTTACCATTCAAAATTAGGGCAAATTTCCTTTGCCAGCTACTAAACTAACAGAATACCTAGAGAACCAGGCCAAATAATGACTTCCTCAAGGATTATCAAGTCCTACTCCCAGAACCTCTAAATCTATTGCTTTATAAGGCAAAAGAGCTGTGTTCCAGGAGCATAGGTACCTACTCACCCTCAAACAAAGTCCTCGTGTTAATAGTTGATCGATCATATTTGGTTGGCTACTGTATGTCAGGTACTACAAGGTGTTTTGCTTGCTGGTTCTTCCCAACAGTCTAAGCTGTCAGCCATTATTCTTGCACCCATTGGGCAGACGAGTAATCTGAGCCACAGTTTAGGAATAGGGCAGGGGGTGATATATTTGGACTCAGGGACTCCAGAGCCAGGGTGCCTAATCCCTCCACCACAGTATATGCTGTACATGGATCTGTTTTTTCCACTGAATATAAACCCAGTTTGCACATTAGAATCACTTGGGCTTTTAAAAAAATACTAATAAACAGACTTGACTCCAGATCACTTATATCAGAATCTTTGGGCATGAGGCTCAAGGATCCAGGTGTTTTAAGAATACAGGTGGAGCTGGGCGTGGTGGTGCACACCTGTAATCCCAGCACAGGGGAGGCTGAGATGGGAGGACTGCTGTGAGTTCAAGGCCACCCTGAGATACACAGTAAATTCAAGGCCAGCCTGAACTATATATAGAGAGACCCTGTCTAAAAAAAAAACAGAAAGGAAAGAATACAGGTGGATATATAGAAGACAATATTGTGAGTCAATGTATCAGTCTTTGAGATTGGATTGCATCTAGTACTGTGCTTGGCATGAGAGAAAAACTTCCAAAAATTGTGTATAATTTATTGTACATAACCATTTATTGTATGCAACTATACAGCAAGTAGTAGGAGCCAGACATTTATTTATTTATACACAAACATTTATTATTTAGTGCTTAGCATAAGCAAAGCACCACACTGGGAAATATGGATATAAATTAAACATTTCCAAGTGAATACTTCAGATAAGGTATTGGCAGGCAGCTCTTTCATAATAAGGTAAAGAAGAGAGGGAGAAGAGGCTGTTTCCCTATAATAAGTGGTTGAGTACATGTTTAGCATGTGTGAGCTCCTGGGTTCAATCTGAAGCACCAAAAGGAAAACGAAGAACTAAATTCTAAAGACAGTGGGTCGGGGATTTAGCTCAGTCATTCTGGTGCCTGCCTGGAAGGCGCAAGGTGCCGAGTTTGATCCCAGTACCAAAAAAATAAAAATAAAAATAAAAACAAAAATAATAAAGACAGTCACTGTTTAGACTGTTACAAATTGCCAAGCACGGGACAAGGTAAAAATTAAGATTCATTAATTTGCTTCTTAATTTGTTTACTTATCAGTATTTTTTTGCAATGTTTAAATAAACAGTGCCGCCAGGATGATAAACAGTGAATCATGTCCCTTGCAGTGCTCACATAGGTAAAACAGACTGGTGGACAGTTTTCTGGCAGGACGGTGTCCTATTGCCTTGTAGCAACAAACGAGAAACACTGGCTTCATGCAGGGACCACTGCTCTAATAGTGCTTAGCCCCTAGCCTTGAAGAGCTGTGTGTTTGAATCCTGACCTCTCCGCTTCCTAGCCGGGAGCCTTAGGTGATTCCTTATGCAGTTCTCTTACTGTGATATGCAGTTACTGCCCCCACCAGGAGTCACAGGATTATTAGGAAGTTTTCATGTGATAATTATACAAGGACGGTTTATAGCACATTAAGTATATAAACAGGAATGATGGCCATTGGGTTGGTGAAGGCCCCGTCTCTCATCTACTCACCTTCCTCACTTGGCTTCCCGAGTTTGCTGGCAGGAAGTCCCTGGGAGCCTCTCCCTCTGAAGAGCTTTCTCTGCGGCTCCTTCCTTCCACCCTCAGCCGTCCCTGCCCATAGGTTGATAGAATCCAGCCCAACAAGTCCACAGGGCAGTGCCTGCCTTGCTGGCTTTTGCACCACGTCTCACGGTTCCCAGGGAGCCCAGGAGAAACCTGGGCACGTCACTCTCCTGGTGCACTCTAGATAAAATACTAACCCCGAAGGTTACATATCACATGGTTTCTGACATGAGAGACCCAAAATATAAATAATTTAAAGAGCAAAATAAAAGAGCCATGTTAAGAAACAGGCAAGTAGACTCTGTAGAGATGGGCAGGGGCTTTAGGAAAGGAGTCGAAGAGGAGAGGGCGGAATAAAAATGACCAAGATGTGGGCCTGGGATTTAGCTCAGTGGTTCCGCTGCCTGCCCCGCAAGAGCAAGGACTCGAGTTCCCGGTACCTCCCCAAAAAACAAAAACAAAACACCAAGATGCAATATGTATAGGTATCAATCCCCCACTCACGATGTAATCACTATGTACTGCAAAAATGTAACGATAGAAGAAATTTTTATAAATTCTGTTTAGCGTTGGCACACCTTGTATCCTCTAGCCCCGCTTACCTCTCTAGATTCATTATCTCAACTCTCCCCACCGATGCTCCTGCATTGAAGAATCGCTTGCAGCTGCCCAAGCACAGGGAGTAGTTCAGAGCCAGGCAGCCTGGATACACACACACACACACACACA